GTTGGCAGGATATCCAGTCTCACCTGCTGCCCTCATTCTGTCAGCTTCTGCTACTCCACATCACGCAAAATTGTAGAATTACCATTTCTTTTCACTAAGTATTGATGTCTGATCCTAGTTTGAGGCAATCCGGTCAGTGACAGAGCAATCTTTGATCAGTTGTTGATACCAGACTTGCAGTCCCATCTACAGCCAAAGTGGCCCCTATCCCATACCTTACATCTGAACAGCTCGATCCCTGAAAGTAGCAACACAAACTTAGCAGGTATGCTGAGCCCCAGACTGCATTCTCTGTAGGACTTTCCTAGGACTTAATTCCAGGTATCTCAAGGAAGTATTCCAGTCAAATGTTTTCCTGAACAGGAGTAACCTTGTAGAAAGCTCCTTCTGATACCCTTAAACTGGTTGCTTAAAAAGTGTGTGCCAGTGGAGGGAATTCCCCATAGGTTTGGTATTCCCGTGTCTGAGAAGTGCAGAGTCTTGATATGCTGCAGGTCCAGAGTCACAGCAGGCTCATCTGAGGTGATACTAATTTAACTAGGCTGTATTTCTTCACCACCCCAAGACTGAAGGGCTCGAGAAGAGAAGGATCAATTGAATTTGAGGGACAACAGTCCTGTTCCTGGTCAGCTTATGAGACCGTGATGAGGTCACTGATTCTTGGTCAAGGGTTGAGGCAAAACTACGCTAGCCATCTAGTTTGGGGAAAATGGGTGAGCACCTTTTCAAAGCCACTCTTTTTATTTCATTGGAAAATACTGGTTCATTAAAAATGAAATTTCCCGAAACAAAAGTTTCTTTAGTCAAAACTTTATTTTAAGAAAATTTAATCATTAGGATGGAGTATTCCAGCAAACTTGAAATGTTCGACTTGGACTCTGTGGGAACAGATGCTTATGATTTCTTATTTCAAAACTTTTCTTTGTGTGTTCTTGTACACTTTGTATAGTATGAAAATAAAAAGAAACAAAACATTAAGATTTTACTGAAATGGAGCATTTTTTATCAGCCTGAACCAACTGCATTTTTATAATTGAAATATATACACCTTACTAAAAATTTTGATTTGTAAATGATGTTTCTTTTTTGAATGAAGGAAATAAATATTGTAGCATTCCCATCTGATTGGTAAGTTCCTGTACATTCAGCTAAATTTATTTCTACTACTGTGCTGTATTTTTCCGGGAGGTCCTATGTAACAAATAAGGCAGTGGGCCAAATTCTGTTTGGATTTGTAGCAATAGCTGCTTCAGTGGAAATTTTCACATTAGTGAGCCCCTGTTGTCTGGTGCATAGCCACACAGCTCGCATAGTGCTGCTGAACAAGACCCAAATATAGAGTCATATGATACTATCAGTTTCTAGGCGGATTCAGTGGGATTCAGAAGGTTTCAGTAGGGAGTTCTAGTTAAATTTGATAACATGATATAGCTGTCATCGATTGTACAACTTTCCTTTTCATGTTTAAAATGTACTTACAGGAGCTTGACTTAGAGCAGGAAAATGTGTGGTACGCATGTCTGAGTGCTGGCTCTGTTCCATATTAAATAATCTGCTAAAGTCGTTATGGTCTTTGATGCTGAATATTATATGAAACCTTTTGCGGGGAAAGTATTTTTTAAGAAAAATTATCTAAAACATATAAAAATAGCTCTTTTAATTTTAAAAGGTTAGGAACAGTCCCAGTCTTCATGGGAAGCTCATAACAACATTTCAGGGCCATTTGTGGCTTGAGCACTAATGGCATAGAGGAAGATAAGTCTAAATCTGACTAGTCTCTGGTTCTCAGTGATTTCTCTTTCCTACCAGTTGGCTCAGTAAGCACAATCCTTACACCTGATTAGCCTCTTAATTACCTGTCTCCAACACTTAATAAAGAGATATTCTGTGTAAGAATCGTCACGGACAAGTTTAGGAATAGGGTGACTGGCGCATAGTGGAATGGTACCAACGATCAACTAAACAGGAGCACGACTAGTGATTAGGGAACATGTCTGGACCTGGGATTCATCTGCCCTGACTTCAACATCTTAAAGCAAGTCATCCCGGTCTAACTTTCACATGTACATGACTGAGTATGGTTGTTTTCTGTAAAAATGTAACGGAAATAATAACTACAGGCATTTTATAGGAGGAATATTCTAAGGATTGGAGATGGCCAGGTATGGTTGCAATACAAACAGCACAAAGACTGCTGTTTATTTAGAACATTTCCTGATAGTTTTACTATAGAGAGTATGTCTCTAGATGTGTCCTGAATAATTCTAGAAACAACATTTATACAAACATCCTTTATCAAATCTCATGTGTTTCCATTATACAAGAAATAATGTTCTTTACAGCCATGTTATATACGTACAATAGCAATTTATATTCCTCTCTCATCTGACAGAATATTTCTGTGTGCTTCCCAACCACATGTATAAATCATCAAGGAAATGTGGAGTCCTAGGAGGTAGAAATATCAGGGATTGGATGCATAACTGAAGACTTAACTATGAAGTTTCCTGGATGTGAATCAATGTTCTACACTCCAGCAATTCATGTTTCTTTCACTTTGCCAGACAAGTGATTTCAGAATTTTGGCCAGCATCTGGTGTAATTTGGATGCTGAACTTTAATCTAAAATTGCTGATCTTTCTAAACATTCTTTATTTTCTCCTGCAGGTGTGTGGTTCCGTTATTTTGGGAGTCTCTGTATGGATACGTGTTAGCAAAAACGCTCAGCAGGTAAATGCATGCAGTCATACCAGAACCACTTAAATGTGGAAGCTACTGCACACACTTTCATTTCCCATCTTCATTTCCACAAATTTGTTATGTTTTTGTTGAGGTGGTTTGTGTGGCTAAAGATTAATGCATTTTATGATGTTTAAGATTAAACAAGATGGTGCAGGTAGTCAGATAAAGTGATTGACATAAGCATAGACATGTGACTACAAGAAGTGTCTTCTAGTGTTATTAATGTAGGTTCTTGCAGACGCACACTGATTTCTGCTGGAAAACATGTGTCTCTCTCTCCTCTAATGAAAACTAATGATGGTTTTGTTATTGATTTCAGTGTTAGAGAGAATAATGAGGAGCCATGCGGCTCCTAGAATTTTCAATGTCTTTTCCTATTAAAACACTATAGTCATGTATATTCCTAGGGTTACTTCGATATGTTTGTAGGGAATATTTTTACCTTTCTCACTGTCTTCAATAACACAATTCTTATTTCCCCAGTAAATGCAACTTTGAAAGGCAGCAAGGATTTTTCCCTTCTATTTTCAGTGGCTCCTTAAAAACACATTATCCTGTTCCCCTCATATTTATATAGAAAGAGTTTTAGAGACCCAAAAATCCTTACTTGGGATTAAAATGGGCTAACAGCCCTCCTGGAGGGGAGGAGAAAGCCCCTGAGTTCCCCTCCTGGATTTTGTCTGGGTTATTAAATTACTTCAGGTTTTATGACTTTCCTTTTCTGCAAAGCCAGGGAAAATACAATTTTGAGGAGCCCTTGATCTTGCAGACACGCAGCAGAGGCTGGTCCTGTTGGTGCAAAGGCTCTTTGGCCCTGTGGGTCCAGCCAACCTTTTGCCAAGCGTGTTCCCAGTGGCACTGCCCTCTGATTCACAGTAGGTTTTCTGCCAGCCTTGAGTGAAGCTGATTTCACAGCTCATAGCTGCTTCTCTGAAAGGCACTGTGCAATCTTCGTATGTTGGTGCTTTGTTATACTAACGGGAAGAACAATCTGACTCCAAGGTTTAAGCATTATATTTCTTCTTGTGAATTTGGGCCATAGAAATGTAAATGAATTTGAAAATTTAATTTGCATGCTTCTATTTCCAAAAAGGCTTTCTGGCCATAGAAGTGAAAAAATGGCCAGGTGTGACATTTTTTTCAGCTTTCAGATCAAGCCTTTAATATAGATTAAGTTGCAAATCTTCAGATCACTCACCTGCTGCTCTACCGCAGTCCGTCAGTTAAGAACGATAATTTTTAAGTCAGTATTTTCCCATCTGGAAATAAAAAGATGGTGGAGATAAGAAGATAGCTTTATATATTTCTTGCCATTTGGCTGATGACGCTGTTGCCCTTAGCCAATCCCAGATGTCTCATGTCTGGCAGAGGATGGATGCAACAGAACTCAGTCCACGATGATGTTGTGCCATGGGGTAAATTAGGTCATGGTGTAGAGCTCTGCCGTTCTCTGCTGTGGAAGAGGAAGAATGACAACTTTCACTCCTCAATCAACATTTTACAAGAAGCTAAAATTGCCATACTTGCTAGCTGACCATCTCTAGTATGATGGCTCAGATGGTACAGTGGAGCTTGGAAAACCGTAACCACTATTATCCTTTCTTATTTTTTTGAGAGATTTCCTATTCAGAAAAGCATACTTAAGTGTGTCCCAAACCGGTTTCCTGCAGCGACATTTAGTACTCCCCAAAAACTGTGAATTCAGAGTAGGGACCAAAATTGAAAGCATTTTCTCACATTTTTGCCTGTAGGCAGGCAAAGTTCCCATTCAAAACCAATGCATGTTTTGCCCGAGTAATAATTGAGCAGACCATAAGGATTTGGCTGTAGATGAATAGAGCTTTCTAAGAATAAATAACAGGAGGTTCAGTCCAACTTGGAAGGGGAAAGAACAACACATTCTTCAAATTATACTTGTCTATATACCTTTGCAATTTCCATCAGAAGATAAATGTGACAACTTCCAGACATTTTTGCTAGTCTTGGCACCAGCCACACTAGAAAATATTCTTTGAACATTTTTCTCTATTTTGGCCTTTGGCCTTTGCCAGTCCTGTGGGAACTGAATAATTTGATATTTAATAATATTGAGGTATATGAATTGTTTAGTTGAATGTCCCACACATCAAAATACAGTCCTCATCTCTGAGGGTAATATTAGAGATCATGCCTAAAAAAAGAAAAAGTAAGCTGCTTTGGACAATGCATCTAACTATTTCTCTAGTATATCCAGCATCGCTCTGAGAAGTGTTCTCTCAGGAACAGCCACAGAGTACGTTCCTGGCCTTCTAATGACAAACCGAGGTTTTGTTTCTTTAACATTTGGTTAATGTAGGAGAGATTTCATGATAATCGATTTTGCTACTTCCAGTAAAAAGAAAGATTCATCGACTGAAAACTAGCTGAAAGCCACTTTAAAGACAAGAGATCTTTATTTACTCTGTAAAGTTGACTTTCATCTTGTGCAGAGACAAAGACTGTGAAAAGCCAGGTTCTACTGAGCTGCCCAACAAAATGTTTAAGAACGGGGCACTAGAGGTTTGTTTATTTCTGGATCAGAATTTCTGCATGGTTGCTAATCAGTATATTTATTAGTTATGAAGTGCTTCTCTTGTTTTGGGGGATACAGATGTTTTTAGGAAGAGCTTCTTGTAGCTGAAAGATTTTTTCCCCTCTCTTTTCAGGAGTTGGAGATAGACAACAGCCTGTTTGCAGGGGTTGATCTGCTGATAGCCGTGGGCTCCATCATTATGGTCCTTGGGTTTCTGGGGTGCTGTGGTGCCATAAAGGAGAGCCGGTGCATGCTGCTGTTGGTAAGAAAGAAAAGCATTTGGCTACCTTTAACAGGCCACAGCTACATTTGATGGATAAGGTCCTTGCAAGTAGTATCAAATGAGGATGGGGGCCTTTTTGTTTAACCAAATGCTTGATTATGATCATGTATTTTCATTGCTTACCTTGTGCTTGAGCCCCTTCTGAATTCTACTGCAGAAAAAATGATCGGTGGTCTCATCAACAAGAAGACAGGGTGCAGAGAGCCCCAAGCATGTCACTAGCTTTTTTTCCATCCAACCATCACCAAAGTTCCTTCCACCAGTCCTCCCCCACTACCTATCCCATTTAACTTCATAAATTCCCAGTTGCTCCTTTGCTGGTCCTCCTAGAACATTCTCCCTGTCCTCCTGCCCAACACCTCTCACCTACACACGGCCCATCATGCTACTGCTCTGGTGTGCACCTTGTTTTGATCACCATCTGAGAACACTCCATCTCAAGCACCCCCTTTGCCAAAGAAGGAATAACTGGAGGAGCTCTGACTGGAACTTCAGTTCATTCTACCTTCATGGTTATTCAAGCACATGAAGGCTTAACATTCACTTAGAAGAAATCATATCATCTTGGTCAAAAGTACTATAGTTTTCTCCCCCTTTTGTTTTCTTCCTAGTTTTTTATTGGACTGCTTCTGATCCTGATCCTTCAGATCACAGGAGGTATTTTAGGAGCTGTGTACCGATCTCAGGTACAGTATTATTCTGCATTTTCATTGATGTCTTCCCAGCGTTTTGTTTCTACCCCGAAAACTAACAAAATATTTGGACTTGCAGATTGAAACATCGCTTAACAAGACTCTCCAGGCGAGTGTGAATTCATTGCAAAGCTCTACAGAAGAATCTAAAGCGTTTCAAGAGAAGTTCCAGAAGTTTGAGAGAATGGTAATTAAAATGTAACAAAGGGCAGGGGCTGTTGCTATCTGTTCCATCTCTAGCATTTGTCTGTGCTTCATTTTATGGCTATTCTGCCATAGATTTGAATTTCATTCCCTGGGGATGGGGAAGGGTCTGGCTTAAATGCAAGTTAAAACACTACGCAAGGGGCTTCTGCTCTCTTGACATGACATGGGCTTGCTGTGATGATTTCTTTGTGCAATAGTGTTTATAAGAGCAATGGAGCAAGGACACAAAACACCCAAGTGAGACTGCCAGTTAGCTAAGCTCTTTCATGATAAGGCCGCCTGCTCCTTTGTTACAGCTTTCCCTTCTGAAGGGACGTTTCTCCTCCACTGCATCTCAGCTAAGAACTATCCAGTACTCTTAAGGCAAGATAACCCCAGTGATAAGGAAAAATTCAGGAGTGCATTTCATTGGGAATATCCTATTGCTATGAAGTCATTAAATGCCATACTTTGCTGTGCAAGAAGGGGGAAGAAAATATGATAAAAGGAAGGTTTGTTTTCACTGTGCTTATATTTATCCTGGCTTCCCCCACCTGCAGGACCTCAGAAGGTGGACACTTAGTGCCAGCTTGCTCCTGGGTATCACACAGAGAATACCCTTGAATCTCACTGGTATCATTGATGGTGTACACCCCTACCCCTCCCACTAGTACCTGTGTCTATACATTGACAGAGTGCCTGCTGTTATTTTTTTTTTAGTCCCCAATGGGTGATGACTTTGATGGGTAGGCTTAAAGAATTCCTATACTTTTAAAGGCCGCTGGTGTGAAAGAAAGGGAAGTGAGAAACAATATTTGGATGGCTTATATTACTTCTACTTCTTCCCCATTCCACCTCCAGCCTGTTGTCTGCCTCTGAGCCAGCTTATTTCTTCTGATATAATAAGCAGCTCCCTGGAGAGATGATTGAAGGGTGAGCAAAATGAAAAAAATCCCGTAATTACTGCATTAATTTTTAAATAGACCAGGATTGCTTTATTATGTCCCACGGCCTTTGCTTTTATGTGAAATTATGTGAACATTTCCAGCTGCTTTTTAAAAGAGGGAGGACCTCAAACCCAAGCCTGCACCCCTGAGCTTTAGTGGCTTGAATAAAGTGGAACATGAAGTGAAACTGCACCTGGTTTAGGTTTCACAAACCCCAAATGGAGCCCGGGCCTCCTCAGACCATTTCTAATTTAAAGTGCTAACCATCATTCAAGGTGGTTATTTTTCTAGATTTCAGAGTTTTATGTGCCTGAATTTTACATTTTCAGCCTGGCTTTTCAAGATATGAAATGTGGATGTTACAGGAGCTGTTACCTTCTGCGAGTATAACCTGCAGAAAGAAGACTTGATTCTCAAAAAATACTATACCCAGCGTTGTTCCATGTTCCAGTTCCATTCTGGCACTGACAATTACTAGCTTTATAGTATGTTAATGTTTTTTGAGCACTGTATACTGAAAATCTGCACTTTTTGCCTTTTTTTTTCTTTTTTTTTAAACTTGTGCACTTACATTCTTATAACTGGTATGGAAATGTAAAGGGCGTTTGAGACACCGGTTTGGGACAACCTCCACATGGGAAAAGCTGAAAGGAAATTTCTCCTTCACCGTTCCTCTCAGCTCCCTTGCCTACTCTCCTCAAACTGCAAATCACCACTTTTTTCCTCATCTCCCCATTTCCTCCTTTCTTGCAGAACGAGTGCTGTGGTTTGCTGAATGGACCTGCAGACTGGGGAAAAAATTTTAATAGTGGTACTGGTAGCAATAAAATCTGTCAGTGTCAACTAGAGGACCTATCACCAAACCGCTGCTTCATGTTTCAAGGCAGATACGTTTATAAAGAGGTAAGAAAAATATAATATTCCACTCTCTGTTCCAAAAGGACGTCTTAACCTGAGGTTGTCTTTGGTGACTGGCATAGTCAGTAGTTCTGTATCTTTCCAAAAAGGCAAAGCTGTGCCTTCTCTTCGTTAGCCAGAATTGCCCCGTGCCATCTGATAGGAAATTACTGTGCGTACCTGAAATATGCTGCTGCTTCCTCTTCTTGGGATGCCTCGATTTTAGCTGTGCACCTCAGCAGTCTGCATGGTTACTGTGGGTGAAAACTATTATGGCTTTGGGGTCAGGGTCAGAGCAGCACATCAGCTACCCTTTGGTTCTCATTCCTCCCTCAGAAGGTTGTGTTCCCACCCCGGCTCATTCTGGTGGTAGACATGTTGACTCAGAGGCTTTCAAAGGGCTAAGGGATATTGAAAAATGAACACATTAAATGCAAGACCTTTGGGGTTTTATAGTCCTTTAATAAAAAACCCCACAGTCATTTTGCAGGATCTGCTGGAAAGAAACCTTACATGTTGTAGGCTTCATGGCAGCATACTCAAGGTGTAATTTCCTACAAGTACAGCCTTTTGAAAAGCTTGTGGCAGTTAAGGCCATGTCTGGTGACAGGCAACAAGAAAGCATACTCAAAAATTGGTAGGTGGGCAGCATAGATCTCAATTAATTAATTACAAGATTTATCTGTCTCCTTATATGAAAATTTGGACTCCATGCATACAAAGAAAAATATGGAAAAAAGTGGAAAACTAGCACACGATACCTGCATTTTTAGTATGCTGGTAGTACAAAGCTTGCCAATCTGCACCTAGCACAAAGCAGATTTTAGCAAATGTCCAACTCTGGTTGTATACTTTTCTAAATGCATAGCTCCTCAGCCAGGTCCTGCCTGAACACTAATTTCCTCCCTGTGCAGTCCCACAGAAGCAAATACTGTTTTAAAGCAAGGGAACAGTCTGGTTAAGTAGAGGGTGCCAGAACCCAATCTGGAAATAAGATGTATACAAAGAGTCTGTTTTGGCCACATTTTAAGGTCTTCTTGGCCTCAGACAAACCCTCAAAGGACACATGAGAAGCCATCAGTGAAATTAGTGCAGGTGCAAGATATCGCTCACATGAACACACAGATTTCATGGTGGTGTTAGATGCTAGTAAAGGCATTCAACTCTTGTGATCCAGGAAAAAAGATTTGAAATTCAGTGCAGTTCTGAGTCAGCTTAAATCAGAGTGTTTTTAGAAGGACTAGAAGGAGAAGACCCATGTGTTTACAGTGAGGGAGGAAATATGGTGAAAGAATATAACTATATCTGGGGAGAAAGCAGTTGTAGTGTTGGAACGGTACCATAGTTTTGATGGATTTAAGCCGTACTTGGCTTTCCCTCCAGTTTCAAAAGGAGTATTGTCAATGCCTGGAGAAGATGTAGTCATTATAAGAACAGATGTATGCATTTATTAAAAAGGAGAGTAGCTCTGCATAGAACTTCAGATACGATCACTCTCTTCAGCCCAGCCGCAGCCCAAGACCACCAAACATTTGTCAAAATTAATATTTAAGTTAGGTTTTATATCCAAATATTGATAGTTGAGCCCGATTCTAATAATAGGCTTTGAAGTTTCAAATCCAAAGATCAGATTAGCAGGAAACTGAAGTTCTCTTTCAGATCTGGTCATTGCTGTGTTGACTCTTTCCTAGTAGTGACTGATTATCAAGTCAAAGTAAGAATAAATGCTTCTTTCCTTGTCAACTGAATATCATGCAAACATTAGGCATTACAACCGCATGTCTTCATTTGAAATCGTACCATTTTATGGTACTAAATTCATCTTCATATTTGGGAAGGCAAAGACTAGATATCCTTCTAACAAGACGCATATAGCTGTGTTCTTTGTTAGCAACAAGCCAGAGTAAATTCAAATAGCCTTTCTTTAACAGAGAAAGAAAGAAGGAGAGAGAGTGTGAGAGGAGTTATTTTAGAGGGTGCATTCCTAATAACCTTAGGATAATATTGCTTACCTGTAATTAATCATTTTGTCTTATTTTTCAGCCTTGTGGAAATGTGATTGCCGATTACCTTAAAGACCATCTGCTGATAATTATGGGGATCGCCTTTGGACTGGCCATTATCGAGGTACCAGTATACACCATTAAAATATTTAGTAGCTGACAAGCAGTATGTTCTACTTAGAAATTACATTGGGAATGGGATTAAAACACCTGGCTTGCTCAATTAGTAGGCAAGGGGAAACCACCTCTCACCTTAGCTATAATCTTACCGTTGTTTCATATAAACAGTATATGGCTGCTGAGCTGAGAACTTCAGGTGGGATCAGACCACCCTGCTGCCTGTATAAGTGTAGAAGTGTATCACGTGGCACTTTTTCCGCAAAGATTTGACGGTTCTGGAGCCGGGCTGTGCCTTGACAGCGAGCCCTGTGGACAGAGGGGTGTGTGGATACCCAGCCCCAGGAAGACACAAGGCAGAATAGCCAGTCTTTTCTTCACTCTCCTTTGCTTGAGGAAAAAGTCTTAAGAAAACTTAGCCCCTAAACTGCATATTCTTATCACGGAGAAATTATGATACAAAATTATTACTCCGAGGGCATAATTTAGGCATCAAGGTGGTGCGTGAATGTGCCTGAGTGCACACCTGCTGTGCTGCTCCATATATTCCTGTGTGTAAAAAAAAACAGAGTATGTAAGCTCTTTATTTTAATTGCTTCATCATACGCTGAAGAATAACATGCAAAATTTTCTCCAAAGAGAGGAGAAAAAACAGTGAGGTTATCCAGTCAGCTACTTGATGAATGATAGGCTTTGATTAGGAGAAAATGACAAAGAAACAGGGGATTTCATCATGTTGCTTTCTTCGGTCATTTTCTTTCTTTTCACTATTCCTCTGTGGCTTCCCTCCTCCCCTGCCCCCCGCCGATGGATGTTTGAGGGAAAAGCAGAAATGACGAAGATTGCTGTGCAGAGTTCAGTCTGTTATTCTGAGTGAAAACTTCTTAACGTCATTGGCAGAGGATTGCTCCTCGTGGTAGAAGAGTGGGCAAGAGCCCCAACTCAAAAATACATTTCCAGGAAAATAATAGTAAGCGGGGAAGAGTTACACAGCTGCAGCGCTGGGAGAGGACAGGCCACTAACTTCTTACTCGGCACAGGCTTCATGGTATTTAAGGTGCTAAATGTGGGGGGTCAGGTCTCCCACCTATATGTAGACTTTGGGGGGAAAATAGGTGAAATACACCAATATTAAAAGGCCTTTAAAATATAATAGAAGTGTAAAATTGCATCTGTATCCTGAAGGTAAGTTATAAGTCACTTTGCTCTAGTTACTGCAGTTATGTGAGTTGTAGCCTTTAGTTCATTGGCCATCGTTCTTCCCTGTTCTCCAGTTGGCATTTTTCTGTGGTGGCTGCCTCTCCCAACCATAAAAGGATTAGAAAACGTCATGAATAAACAATATGAGCCTCAGCTGGTACAAATTGTCAGCTGGCAATTTACACTTGATAAACATTTAACCTTTCCAAAGATATTAACATATCATGACTTCTCAAGTGATTGCAAATCAAAGGCCACATGCTTAACTGTCCCTCTGCTCTGGAAAAACCCAGATTAAAAGAAGCAGGCAAGGAAAAGTGCTCTTCCCTAGCGTTCCCCCCTCTGCCTGCTCCATTATGCCACTTGTGGGCTGTTAATAGTTTCAGCTCACCCTGTTAGTGGAAATGATACCTAGAAGAAGGGCCCAGTTTCACTTGGGCACAAGTGAAAATGCGGGCATGGTATGTCAGGGAAGCCCTGCCAGCTTATTCCAGCTGTGAGTTCATCCCCTCATCTTAGCTGTATCCCCATGTTCTGTACACTCTCCACTGTCTCTTCCTTAAAGAAATGAAGCATCCTGGTGTTCATGGCTTCATAAATGTCACTTGGATACTTTCCACTTTTGTGGAACACCTTCACAGACTGGTTAATTTTAAATTCAGAAGGAAACTTTCTGATCTTCTGATCTCTCCAGCTGTCTGTCACAGGCTGTGGAATTTCACCCAGTAATTCCCACTACAGAAGGTGACCCTACGGAATTTTACATTTCAAGCAACAGCTTCTTTAGTGGACTCAGTGTTTCTATCCCAAATCTATTACTGATGAATATAAAATAATTGTTGCATGATCATTTGCCACTCAAAACAGCTGGGTATGTGTACAGACACATATACATATACTCACGTATGCCTTTATATATATATTTACATAAAAGAGAGTGACAGTGGAAAAGAAGAGAGATTTTAAAGGGAAACAATCCTTAGAATACGCAATGGAATCAGAAAGTTCCCCCAACTTTCTTAGAAAATAAAAGATTGAATTTTTGTCTGAATTTCTTAAACTTCTCTATATATGCTGCTCCATTGCAGCTAACAACTCCATTTTAAACCCCCAGAGTTACAGGGTTCCCCATCCACAGAGGCAATCCATCTTTTAAACAAATGAAAGCTTTCCATCATGTCTGCAGTCTTACCTGTGGTACATACTGATTTCATTAAAATGGCTATATTCTAGAGTCATGTTCTTTAAGAATTACATTGGAAAAGATCTTCTGTATAGCAGATTTAGCCTGCATGTAAATCCAAGACATTTGCAAACAAAATGTTCCCACTGTGTATTGGCTGTATCCTGGGATTTCCAGGACTGCCAAGTAATACCAGAAATGTCTTTATTTTCCAGATTCTCGGTATGGGGTTTTCTATGAGCCTCTACTGCCAGATCCAGAAAAAATGAAACCATCGAAGTGTCAGAATGATGTCACCAGCCAAATCAAAACCTTTGTAGATAGAAGGATATTTGGCTTGGCACATTCAGATAAATATAGGCATGTCCCAGGCAGCTGTTCTGATGAAAATGGCAGCCCTTGTGCACATGGATGCTTCACAATTTGCAAAATTACCTCCTTATAATTCATAAGATTTAATGATGTGAATGTGAATTTTTATTTGCAATAAATGTCTTTGTTTCTGTTTCTGAGGAGTTTATTTTGTCTGAAGATAGCATCTACGTCGTGTTGAGATTCCAAGTTCACCATGCAGTGTGTCCACATGGGTGTTAGGCCACCCGTAGCAGAGTCACCGTAAACAGCTGCAAACGATCTTGCGGTGGTTGACTGCTCTGAGGAATCACGCGCCCCCAGGCAGCTTTGCTTGTGGGGCAGGGTGTTTTCATTACGAGTGTCGCAGGTCAGTTTGACGTTCGATATAGTATATACGGGCAGGGTTCTGTTACTTGTGAGAAGCACAGGGACTAACTTCTATCCAAATAGGAAAGCCACATTTCCCTTCAGGGACGTTTAAATCAATATCCTGGCAGCTGGGATGGTCACTCTCAGGCCCAAATGATGCTTAGATTGCATACGGGAGTTGGATTTAGTGGCACGTGTTTTGCAAATATGCATGAAGGGTCAAATCCAAGCCCATGTGGAGGCACGATGTACACAAAAGTCATGCGGGTGAGACTTCACTCAGAGTGTCAGCCCCATGGAGCCGTTGGCCCCTGCCCCAGCGATGCTGCAGCAAGGCCAGTCTCCAGTTCCCCACAGCCCTGCCCTGCTTGGCCATGGGGTCCCACCAAGCTGGGTCCACCCATGGGCCCATGTCCTGGCCTGGCCTCAGCCCATCCTGTCCCCCAGGGAGATGCCTGATGCCCAGGGCTGGGGCTGCCCCAGTGCCCCCCAGCTGCCCTGCTCCTGGCTAGGGCAGTGGGATGGACCCTGGCTGGCAGGCATCCAGAGAGCTGCTGGCCCAGGTGGCTCCCTGACAGAAAGTAAATGGCATCAGGGAGCGTATTTTTTAAAGGTATGAAGATGTCTAACGATGCCCACAGGGATCTGCTGAGGTTTTCCACAGCATGCCGATGGCCTCACTGCTGTGTGTTGGGGGCTAGCTGTTTTCAGCAGTCCTGCTGGGCCCCCATCTTCATCTTCAGGAGCAACTTCAGACAGCTGCTCTTAAGAGAGAACCACATACCATGCTGTTCTACTTTAAGACCCCTCAGGTGCCCACGGCTGTCTCAAAGCGCACCCAGACTGCTCCCATCTTGACAGAGCCGTGCAACTGTTGCTTATAAATACATTAACAGTTTTCCTTGAGCAGAGACCTTTGCCCATGCCTTACCCTGACAGGATTGCATTCAGGTAAAATTCACCTGCAGCAACCACTTTCTTTTAAAACACATCCAGAGGAAAAATTTCTGTCCTGTTGCCCACCCTTTCCCTAGCACTCAGACCACTAGGCAGTGAGAGCTGCTTTCAGAAATTTGTGTCTCCAAGGAAAGTCATCTAGCTACCAGACAGTTCTGGCCCTTGCCCTTCCCTCTGCTGAA